TGCTGTAGGATTGTCAGAAGAAGTTTGTTTGTTATGGGCATAAAAGAAATAGTAATTTTATTAGCAGTTAAAAATTGCAGTAATATTGTTGTGTATTGTATAGCTGCTATGGTAACTGGAAAACACAATGCAAAAATCTGCAGTGCAGTGCTATTGTTGCAGGTAAATCTTATTACTATGACTAAGGCACAGTTAAGTTCTATTAGTAGTTAAATCCCGCAATAATACCGCTGACAATTTTTTACTGCAAAAACTGTAAAACCCAAGGATAAGAATTTTATTACCAGGCATGATAATAATTCAAGCCTATGGTTGCACTTCATAGACCAGAATCTCCATTTAGGGGGTTAACTGGCAAAGCTGCTTCAATGAAAATAATTTCTATCATTTCAAAACTGTCATGGCACAAAGGATTTGAAATTTTGGGGTGGCATTTTCTATTTTTTTTATATTTTATTTTCACTGTAAGCTTGGTGATATATAAAGGCAATATAGAAATTGTTTTAAATATTGAATCTTTTAAGTAAAACAGCTGTAACATTTTGCAGTCAACATCTGGGTCAAATGGACAGGACAATTAAAGTTACTTATATCCACAGGTGTATAACATGCAGATTAAGCCTGGGATGAAAGGAGATGATAAATCAAGACAGGGATTTAGAAAGAGGCAGAAACACAGTTTGGAAGGGGCGAGGGTCAGTAGGATGTACTTACTGGTACATACTGGTAGGTAGGAGAAATGGGAATCTTAAGTAAAAGGTAATTTCTAGAATGCCAAAAGATCTCAGATGATATATGGCAAGGAAGGTGGTCATGGGGATTGGGGCTAATTGAATTCTTAGTAATTATTAAAAATTTCTGTGTATACATAGGCTATTGGTGTTCCACTCTAAGTAATCACTGAGTTTAATGGAAGACAAATAATGTTGAAAGTAGTTTATTTTGAGATTTGTTATTCCTTGAGGTAGCAATGTTTGGTAACAACTAAGTATTGCCCAAGTTATTCTTGAAGGTCAATTTTTATGTTTATTGTGTATTATTTTTGACTCTGCTAAAAAATACAATGATGTACATTATTAATTGCTATTTATTGACTGTTTACTGTACATCAGGCACTTTACATACTTATCTTCCATCTTCTCAACATCCCAGAAAGGAAGCGTGATGATTTGTTTGACAGAGTAAGAAACTGGGACTTAGAGAGGTGAAGTGATTTGTGTTAATTTCCTGCGTGTATATTGAACATCTGTTTCTGAAAATTCTTTGAGAGCAGGGACTGTTCCTTTTATGTGCCATTAATAACATTTCATGCGATCAATACTCAGTTGGTACTCCCTATCAGCTAAGTGGATAGAAAGATCTTAAAATATTCTATATTTAAGGTTCTCCAATAAATTTAGTTAGCAAACAGGTTATTAAAAAAAAAAAAAGTCATGAGGGAAGAAGTAGCTACTCTGTGGGGTCTCCAGGAGCCTATGAACTTGAGCTTAGCAACAGGGTTAAGGTCTGTTTTTAATTCCTCCATTTCTAAACTTGGGCTCTTAGCTACTTTTGCAGCTAGGATGAAAAAGACGAGTTTATATCCAAGAGAAATACTTACCCTAAAAAGAAGAACTATCATTTAAGAAACTCTTTCTTAGTTTCTTGAAGTTTTCCCCAACTTGAGAAAGATTCCCTAGGGTCCCACACACTCCTTCTCCTTCTTATTTTAAAAACAGTTTGTGTGTGTGTGCTTGTTCTTCTTCCGGATCAAACCTGTGCTGCTTGCAATGGCAGTATGGAGTCTTAACCACTGGACCACCAGGGAAGTCCCCTCTTCCTTTTTAGGAAGGGAAAGTATTAAATGAAACCAGAATAACCACATGAGAAAGTCTGTGAATTTCTGAAGAAGAATAATAAAAAATAGGATGCAAACCCCACTTGATTATCATGTGGGTTGTTCCTGAAAGACATCACAGATTAAAATAGGTTATGACCATTTCTATAAATTAGCCATTAAAAAATCCATACACTTAAGAGTCTGTTAATGATGCAGAATGTATCACTATATGAGATCATAATAGATGTAGGTTACAGTGACTTAGTAAGCCACTCAGGAAGGACAGGAGAGAACTTTAAGATGTACACAAAATCAGAATCAATATAATTATTACGGTTATCTTTCATATTTTAAAATTAAGACTATAGCAAAATAAGTGATATCTATGCCCTTTTCTGTAAAATGTGCACTGTGTTCTTGTAATATTATTAGATCACTTTCTTTATTGCATGCAAATGGAAATGGAATTAGATACTGGATTCAAGCCTTCTATGTCTCCCAATCTATGCTGATTCTTCAGTCTCTCCTTTCTCTTGCCTCCCCATGGCTACAGATGAGCTCAACTCTCACCCATCACTGCCCTCCTTCCTGACCTTAAAAGAATCCTTCCCTAGATGGTAACACCTTTCAAGCTATTTTGTCCACACATCCTGCTCTCTATGCTTAATAAGATTAAGAATGTGCTCTAATTATTTCCAGGACTCATCTTGCTTGTTTTCTTTTCATAAGTTAGTTTCCCTCTTTTTCTCAATTGACCCATTGCTTCTAGGGTGCTGCTACTTCTGTGACCATTCCCTCCTGTCTCCTTACCACCCTACTTCTTCCTCAAACGCTGAGATTCCCCCCAAAGTTCATTGTTTGTCTTCTTTCTCTAAACCGGAGGTCTGTGGACTACCTAATTGAAAGCAAATTTTTGTCTTAGGATAGGACCTATTTCTCCTCGGTAAAATAGGCATACCTTTCATCACCGTTCTGAAAAGGGTCCTTGGCTCCTTTAACAAGGTTAAGTGCCCCTGTCCTCACACACTCCTTAGGTTGTTTCATCCTCCCCTTTGCCCATAACCACTCTTTTTATATGCTAACCCTCCGAAACTCTTCTGAGAGAGAGAAAAAGATCGATAGCGAAGAGGAGAAACTAGGATTCATGAAAACGTTTAAGAATTATAACAAGAAGAAATCGCAGCGTGAACATTTTATGTCCCTAGTAGTTCAGAGGGTAAAGCGTCCACCTGCAATGCAGGAGACCCGGGTTTGATCCCTGGGTCGGGAAGATCCCCTGGAAAAGGAAATGGCAACCCACTCCAGTATTCTTGCCTGGAGAATCCCATGGACGGAGGAGCCTGGTAGGCTACAGTCTACGGGGTCGCAAAGAGTCGGACACGACTGAGCTACTTCACTTTTGGTTATCGAATCTGGTTCATTAAGGACCAGCAGATCTAATGTTTGGCAGGGGCTTAGCCAGGTCCTTACAGTTGGTCAGAGGAAAAATCCCAGGAGGTGCGCAGCTAGCGGCAGAGAGGGCACACCCAACTCCTAGGGTGGGGACAGGAGAGAACTGGACGAGAAAACCACAGCAGCTCCACAGCTCACAGCTGCAGAGAAGCCAGTCCCGGGCTCCGCTCTGATTCCAGCTATAAACCCCGCCCAGCACCTTTGACCGACATCCACCTTCAGCAACCACCTTCCTGATCACTATAAACACTCTCCACTCCTCCCACCTAGCTCTTCCCTCTTGAAGCCAATCAGAGGAATGGGAGGGATTGTCCATAGAGGGTTCCAATTTTTTTTTTTTTTTTAAAGAAGGGTAGATTGTACGCCGCGTTCCGCCTGGCGGAAAAACACCTCCAGAACTAGGGGAGGGTGGAGCTCTGTGATGGGCACCCTGCTCGGCCAATGAGAGGCCCCTGCCCCTCAAAGGCCCGGTCGCCCAGGTGGGCGGGGCAAGCGCGGGACCCAGCCAATGGCAGCGGGGCGGACGGAGGTTGAGCCGCCGTGGGTAGGGTTAGTGTGAGAGGTGCGGCGGGGGAGGTAATGATGATGGTGGCGGAGGAGAAAGGCGGGGGAGGGGGTGCTGGGCGCTGAGCGGCGGCTCTGGCAGGGTTTTGTAGGGTGGGGGACGGTCGCGGGGCTACTGCGTCCGGGAGGGGGCGGGCGTGAGGCGCGCTGTCCGCCTGAGGGGCTGCAGACCCCGGCTCCCGGGAGCGCCGCTGCTGGCTCGGCTGTTCCATGTGGCTCCGGCGGGGATGGAGGACTCGGTGGCGGCGGCGGCGGCTTCTGCTGCGGCGGCGACGGAGGAGCGGCGCTGAGGAGGGAACCGGGCCAGGCTCAGCCCGACAGCGGGATTAGAGGTGTGAGGAGGGGGCGGGAGTGGACGTGCTGCGGGGCCGGGGCTCGGGTACCGGGCTGGAGTCTTCTGGCATCGCCTGGGTGACAGGGACGGCTGGCGAGCCACCGCCTGCCTCCGCTGGGGGCAGGGGTCTGGGCTGTGTGCGGGAGGAGAGGCGGCTCCGGCGGACTCTTCCCTGAGGATGGGGGAGGGAGGCACCGCACCCCGCACCGTGCACTTGCCTCTTTGGTCATTGCTTCACGCCCAGGCAGGAGTTTCCATTTCCCTCCGGTTGGCAGCGAAGGTGAAGGAGAGCCCAAGTGGCCTGGAGCCGGGACACTGCCCTCTCTCTGTCTTGAGATTTCCCTCCACTCTTTTCCCATCCGTTTCCCCCTCCGACTCAGCAGCAACATTCGTCCCCGCTCCTTAATTTGCTTCACGCACTTATTTTAGGACTTAGAGCTATTAATTATCACCTGAAAAATAAAGTTTATTTTAAAATACTCCACTCCTTCCTCTGACTGGCGGTGGACGTTAAGCAGCATCTCTAGACTTTCCCGCTCTGCTCACCCTTCTGTGATGCTAGGAGGAGGAGGTAGGGCCCCGGCTTTCGCCTCTCAATTGTTGATGCTGATTACCTGATGTGTTGCTCCACGTCTGTGGTGTGAGTTGCAGTTTCTTCCTTGGTGTCTTGCATCCTTGATGTTACTGGCTTTTGAGGTTAGTGTTTTGTTTCATTGTTTGAAAAACATGCTGGAGAACTGGGGTCGTCTGTTGCAGTGTTATCTGACGTGGGTGGTTAGTCACTTCTTATGCTTCTCTTCTCATTTTTTTTCTCTTTGTTTTGCTTTTCAGTCCTCCAGAATACATATCATATAGACCCGAGGTGGAATGGTGATGTCTCCATGAGGGAACCTCCTCTCACTCATCCTGTCATGTGTGTGATACTCTTCTTGACTGGGCCATTCATCTAGGATGGGATTTACCCTGTGAAACAGGGAGAAGACTTTATGGACCCCAAACATCATTTCAAGTTGTAGTTGAGTTTTTTAAAGTACAGACATACATGCAAAGCTCCTTTGCTTTGGACCTTCTGCTTTGTTAAAGCTGCTGTGTTGCTAACCCAGAACTGCTCCACTGTTTTGACTGATCATCATGGCTTCAGTTTGGAAGAGACTACAGCGTGTGGGAAAACATGCATCCAAGTTCCAGTTTGTGGCCTCCTACCAGGAACTGATGGTTGAATGTACCAAGAAATGGTAAGAGTGCCTGGGTGTAGAGTTTGCTGTGCTGTGGCCTAAACCCTGCTGCTTCTGACAGGGGGTTTACCTTTCTGCAGTGCACAAGTGTGTAAAAGCTGGGCGGGGTGCAGATGACTCTCACAAGTACTATGGTGTGCGCTGTTGCTGCTGGTACCATTCCTGTGGGTTTTAATTACTGCACTTCAGTGTGGCTCAGAGGACTGTTACTATGAGAGCACACCAAGTATAGAGGACTCGGTCTTGAGGTCTTGCATCATTAGTGTTAGGATAACTTTGATTTTTGTAATTTTAAGGAGATGTGAAAATGCCTATTGAAATATTGTAAACATATGCATATATTTTGATTAACACGTATGTCTATGTTTCAATAGAGTTTTAATACAGAAATCTATTTTTGTAGGGTGGTGCTGGTCTGTTTTTTTTTCTTTTGCTTAAAGTAAAGAATTTTTCATTATCTTATTAATAGAATGCCAGTCCACACAACCTTAGAAATTCTTTTGTTATATGCTTAGTCAGGCAACTGTATTTTGTTTTAATTGCCTAATGGATACATTTCTTGGCCAGACTTAAGGAAGCAATTAGTAGTGCTGGTCTATGATTTGCTGCTTTCCACTTGAGCAAAGTAAATTTAGGGCTTTCTTTTCACTGCCCTGAATGATAAGCAAGAGGAATTCTTATTGGGCTTCCCTTGTAGCTCAGCTCATAAAGAATCTCCCTACAATGCAGGAGACCTGGGTTCGATCCCTGGATCAGGAAAATCCCCTGGAGAAGGAAATGGCAACTCACTCCAGTATTCTTGCCTAGAGAATCCCATGGACAGAGGAGCCTGGCAGGCTATAGTCCATGGGGTTGCAAGAGTCGGACACGACTTAGCAACTAAACTACTACTATTCTTATTAGAGGAAAAAAGTTAATCTTAAGAAAATGGTATTTTGGGTTTTGATTTATTGCGGTGATTAAGCAGTATTACTGCAAAAATAAGTTCATTTCATTATTCACACAGACTGTAATCTCATGTCTGTATTAATCTCTCTTTTTATAAGATGAAAAACAACTTGCTCTACTCTAGAACTCTTAAAACATATCTGAATATTTATTTGGAAACTAGTTTCCAAATGCTTTTCTCTTAAACTTGTTAGAATGTTATTTCATGTGCAACTCAAGAAGTGCATGTATTGATTACCTACTTTATACTAGGCTCTGTAGCTTTAGAGTTGAATATGAAATAATCCCCACCCTCAAGGAGTTCACCCTCAAGGAGTCGAGGGCAATGACAGGTCATGTAAATGAAGTCTCTGTGATAGGTACAATAATATAAATATGTATGATGTAGGGATCTTAATTATCTCTATCCCCTAACAGTTAGATGTTCTTGGGTACAGGTTATTTTCTCCTCTGAGATAATTTTCATGTTGAGAAAGGTAATAATGGTATTACTTCACAGAAAGGGTTATTGTGGGGGAAAAAAAAAGGGTTATTGTGAAGATTAAATGAGTTAAGACATGTAAAATGCTTGAAACAATGTCAGGCACGTAGTAAATGCTCAACAAATGCCATTTTTACTTATAAAGTTAGCAGAGAAGGAAATAACTCTTTAAGGGTAGGGTAGGTATGGGATCCTACTTTCTGGGAACCGGGTTGAGTTTTGAAAGGTTCATAATAATTGGCCAGGAAGCTAAAGGGGAAGAAATGAAGGATATTCTAGATGATAATGGCTGCTTATGCAAAAGCATGGATGTGTGTAGTATGCCGGAAGTTCATGCAGTGTAACTGGATAATGATGGGCCTTAAAGTGGGAGGAATGCAGTGGGCTATGTTGTTTTAGAGGCAGGCAGGAGTGAAGTGCTGTTATACATGCCTTGGACTTTATTCTGTGGGTAATGGAGAGATACTAAAAGGTTTTGAGCGGAAGAGACTTTAGGTTTGAAGAAAAGTGAAAGTGTTAGTCGCTCAGTCCTATCCAACTCTTTGCGAACTAATGGAGTGAAGCCTGCCAGGCTCCTCTGTCCATGGAATTCTCCAGGCAAGAATACTGGAGTGGGTAGCCGGTCCCTTCTCCAGAGAATATTCCCAACCCAGGGGTCGAACCCGGGTCTCTGTGTCGCAGGTGAATTCTCTACCGTCTGAGTCACCAGGGAACCCTGACTTTAGATTTTCGTTCTGGAAAATCATTTGGATGACAGTGTGAAGTAAGGATCATAGTGGAAAGGGTAACTAGAGGCTGTGACGGTAGGGTAGCTATTGCAATAGGTAAGGTGAGAGAAGAGGTTTAGACTAAGGCAGTGGCAGAGAAAGTGGGGAGAACAGAGTAGAGTAGAATAGAATAGAGTAGAATAGAATAGAGACACTTATGCCCCCAAATGGATAATACTTAATGGTCATTTCAGTATGGGTCTGAAAAGGATGGGGACAAGGGAGAGGGAAAGGTCTGGGTTGACATCCAAGTTTCTGGCTTGGAGGACTAGTGTGCTACTAACTCAGCTAGGGAATACATGAGGAAGTTCTTGATTACAAGTTATTCTCAACTTCGTCTTATACTGGGGGCATCAACTATAAGATGGTTAAATTTGAATCTCTTTTCTTAAGGGAAATAGAACATATCAGGTGATTCTTTATTTACAACATGAGTTTCTTCCCCACAGTTTGCATCATTCCTGGGTTTTTATTTTTCCTTGAGAAATATGTATGTTATTGTTAATGTGTCTCAAGGTAAAAGCCAAGAATGAAATTTAACTTGATTATTGATGAATAGATGGCTCAATTACTTTTAGGGTTGGACATTATGGTATACCTATTAAATTAGGTCTTTATGATAAGGTCTGGCCTTAACACAAGAAGCATTTGGATATTGTAGAATTTTTAGATGTGTAGTTCTAAATATTTTGCATTTCCCCCCATCTCATTTAAAAATACAGTTTAAAGTTTGAAGTTAACAAGGTGACAGTGCCCAAAGAATAATATATTTGTTTGATGTACTGGAATTTTATTTATAAGTGAATCCTTAGAGCTTTAAAAATTTTCATTATATAAAAATTTGTTGTAATAAGTTTTAGTTAATATTCTTTTTGCTTTACTCTGCACAGGGTCCTTTTGATAAATACAGGTTAGGCCAGATTTCTATACTTAAATCCTGTAGCTCTCTTTTTTTATTTTTCATGCCTCATTTTGATGCTTGCAAGAATTTTTAAATTACTGAATATGTATGCTGAATTAGAATCTAAAGGACATAAGAATAAAAATGGACTTGAGACACATAGTAAGAACATACATTTTTTCAGTTTTATATAATTTTAGGTATTGTTTTGAGGGTATGGAAAAATAAAAGGAGAGGAAGGCAATTATAGATGCCAATTGAGTAAAGGGAAAGAGGCTTTGAAGATAAATTGCAGGTGTTGAGAGGATAAGAAAATAGATCTAATATACATTAGAGAAGAAGGAATAAACTATAAAAAGAACAGCCAGCATTAGGATTGTGCCTTTGTAAGTAAACTGTATACACGTGCCATACCTTTTAGAACCTTGCTACTCCAAGTGTTTTCTGAGAAACAGGAGAATTTGCAAAGCCTGGGAATGAATCTGTTAGAACTGCTGTCCCTCAGGCCCTGCCCTGGACTCACTGAATCAGAATCTGCATTTTAATGAGATCCATCCCTTGGCTTCCCTGATAGCTCAGTTGATAAAGAATCTGCCTGCAATGCAGGAGACCCCAATTTGATTCTTGGTTCAGGAAGATCCCCTGGAGAAGGGATAGGCTACCTACTCCAGTATTCTTGGGCTTCCCTTGTGGTTCAGCTGCTAAAGAATCTGCCTGCAATGTGAGAGACCTGGGTTTGATCCTTGGGTTGGGAGGATCCCCTGGAGAAGGGAAAGGCTACCCACTCCAGTATTCCAGCCTGTAGAATTCCATGGACTCTCTAGTCCTTGAGGTCGCAAAGAGTTGGGCATGACTGAGCAACTTTCACTTTCTTTATACCATGCATATTAAGGTTTAAGAAACAGTATTTTAAAATAATATTTTCAGCCTAAGTGCCTATTCATGACTTCAGGATAAAGTATACTGATTTCTGCATGAATTTGAAACTCAAGGGAATGAAGATGAAACTTCAGGATTCAAGAAGGGTGTAGTGTGTTGATGGAAGAGGTTAATGGGAATTAGGATATGTTTAGGATATGTTTTCCTAGGAAGAACATGTGTTATTTCTGTGATTAAGGAGAGGAGAAATGTTTTCCATGCTCCCTTGTTATGGCTGTAGGTTATGAACCTGGCCGTGACAGGTAACAGGATGAAAGTAAGGGTTTCAGGAAGCCGTCTTTAAGATCTAGGCCATGAGCAAACTCACAGCATTTTACCCTTGATCAAAGGATGGATTCTATTTAAGGGGTTTGGAGTTTCTGTTTTCTTACACTTTTCTTTGTTGCTGTCTTATAGTATTTTTCATTTGCCCAACATAGTATGTTTCCTTAGCTCAACAGTGTCTAACTTATAATTCTTTCTTGATGTAGTGGCTCTAGAAGTTAGGTCAGGAACAAAAACCAGAAAGACTTATTCATCTGAGAGTATACTATACTGTTAAGTCCTGTTCCTCATCACTCCATAACCAGGTAGAGGCTCCAGTAAATTTGAAGATGTTAAGTGTTTATATTCCCCTTCTCTTATTGTTGTCCCCAAGTCATTTAATTATTAATCTCACTTAACTGATGTAGCTGTTGGCAAGTGGTAAGACTGGCCACTAGAGAGGACTCTGGAACAAAGAGACTATGCTGTCTTTCCTCTCTTAATTTGTTTCTTCTCCTGTTTTTCTTTTTAAAAAATATCACCTGCAGGACTTTAGATTTCTGAGAGAAGTCTTGTATGAGCTGTCAATGGCTATTCAGCTGTTTAAGGAAACTACTTGAAAGTTGGCACATTGTGGTTATGATCATTTAGTTTGCAGAACTCAATTCTGATAGGAGCTCCCTAATACATGATGAGAACTGTTATGAGAATGTATTATATT